GGTAACAATGAGCCCAAGGCGAGGAATAGTGGTTTTGGAGAGACATTGACTTTGCATTAATAAGGTGGACGTAAATATTGGTCATTCTTCCTTCGCCAATTTTAAAATCAGGTGTTGTTTTTACGACAGCGTAAAATGGACGATCTTCTGTCCTACGAGCTTCCAGATGCATCTATTTACGACAGCTTGAAATCAAGTCTTCGCAAAGTGCATGACAAAATGGATGTGCATCGTTCGTTGCTGGACCGATACTCAGCAATTGATATGAAAGACGGTCCCTCTTCTGTGGAAGAACGAGTTGCTTCAAAATGCCGCGAGCTAGGCGAGCGTATGGCCAGATGAGGAAGTCGACGTGTGCAACTTGTGTCCCTTAACACATCTTTATTGAACAGTCTACCCCCTAGCCACTTCTCTCAATCAACTCGCCGAATCCCAACCATTGAAATATACTTAGGCTTGTAGCATGTTGCATGCTTTTGAAAGTGTCCACCTTAAGTGCCTTTTTTCTCCATCAAACCCACATCGGATCCTCTTCGTATGGCCATGCCCATCTCCCCTATAAACGTTTCGCTTTCCTTTTGCTTGCCGCCTCCCTCCCTTAGCTAGTGTGTTCCCTTCAGTAGCACAAATGAAGACGCTTTGGATAAATCTATCATGAAAGTTATCCCGGGGTTTGGGTGGTGCAAGGCGTTTCCTGACTGCTCCGTCATTGCAATTTGCATCGTGAATTTTGCTTATGTAAAGGCATATTAATGTCGACTTTATCTTTTTAAATTTTAGCTCGATTCAAGCCCTCTGGTGAGTGGTGCTGCTCCTTTTTGTGAACTTCACTACGGTATTTCCACTTATCTGATTTACCATTACCAGAGCGTTCTTGGCAGAACCAGTCCTTCTTAAGCAACCCTTACCCAATTTTCTTCTACCTTGTCATCGTCACTAATAAAATATTGAGCTCGTCTAAGGTCGGAATGTTATGAAATGACATAGAAACGAATTGCATTGCAAAGATGTGGATTGAAGACGTTCAGTCATACATAATTCCCAAACATTTCAAAAACTAGATGAGGATTCAGAACGCTGAGACCAACGTTCCAATTGAGGCAATTCCGCGCGCCCGTGGTCCTGATTTAAAAACCACGCCACTAGAGACTGAAATATACTACCGACATCCGCAAACAATCACGGTGACTGCTAGTACAAATCGGGCATAGATAGAGGCCCGGAAGCCTGCATGCTCGACATCACGAAGGTGTCTAGGTCTGCATGCTAGCTATTGGAGGTAGTCTGTACAGCTCCTCTATCATCTAACACCCCTCGATGTGGTCACGTGTTAACGCTGTGTGCTGACTGTATCATTAACATCTTGCATTACAGGGCTACCGATACTACCGATACTACTAGTAGGCTGAGGCACAACACGTGAGTATCAAGCTAACAGCACTATCATCTTACCAATGCCACCGCGGATGGTATTAAGCAAAACCTGTTGCAGGCAGCCATAATTATTTGCTGTCATTTGCTTTGTTATTGGTACTTTATAGCAGTTTTAGCGTTGCCTTCCATTGCCAACGTTTTACTGTTGCTGTGCAAACCTTCGCTGAGTTATTGTGCACTGTTAATGCAGTCCAAAGTTCTTAGGATGTCGTTGATCTTGGTTCCTGAAGAACTTTAATGCTCACTGTTTTGACCGTTAGCAAAAACGTTTTGCTTAAATGCAGTCCATTTACAAACTGGCACCCATTTGCATGTTGCATGGTTATAGTTGGTAAAATCGGCAATGGCTTAAAAGGGTAAGCTACCAACAATATGCTCGTTCCTCGCATCCAAAACTTATTCTTGTGCATTCTTACACTCCATTATGTCAGTGATAACGTATTTTTTGGTTTTTAAGGGCTATGGACCACCACTAGTTCAACCAACTGGCAGTTCCACAGCCGAGCTTCGTGGGCGTATTCGTCGTCTCATCTGCCGTTCGCGCAGAAATCCACATCATTTTCGTTACCTTTCATCTTCTTATCCTTCTGCTTGATTGTAAGCACTGAAATTTCTTGCCCAAATGGATCCACTGACCCTATTTCCCTTCCTTTAACGATGTTTTAAAAGTCCGTTTTCCGTTTTATTGCAATTCCCCAAATTTCGTCTCACTAGACATTTATTTATTTATGCTTCAACACGACGCTGCTGGTGGTGGCAGAGGCGTCCAACTTATGAATTATTCCCCTAACCCACAATTGCTAGCACTAAAAAATGAGATTTTCTGCCCTAGACGTCTATATGAAACGTGAAAGAGGAGGCTTGCTTGTTTTGACTAGTCCTTACACAATAAACCCAAGTCTATTTTCTCCGTTCCATCTTTTGTGGTAAGTGGTGCTTTGGAAGTTGAATGACGTTTAATGAGAACTCTATAAGCCAACAAAGCAGCATTTATTTAGGCGTTTTACCTTGTACTCTCTTAGCCAACTCATGAGTAGAAATTAGGACGGTAAAGCAAGTTCAAAAGTCATTGCATTTCAGCCGCATAAAATAGTTACCGCGGCATGCTATCAAACTGACAATTTAGGCACGCTAACAACTGCTTTTCCCTGTTACTTACCCTGCGGTGATAGAAATAAAATTGCCGTGAGGGTTTGACTAAATTCTCACGGCTCCACTCACTGATGCATTGTCGGTGACCCAGTGTAGTGTTCCATGGTGCCCTAGAAAACAAGGGAAGACATAATACTTGGACAAAAGTATACATTTTCTAAGTAGAAGGAAGTTTGAGCCGCCAGCATATTATCAGGGACCAGTTTCCTCCGCAAAAGCAATACGCAGGTACCCCTCACTGAATACGGCAGTCAAGAAAACAGGGTATTAAAGCTCGATTTTTAAGGTCTGACTCAATACTGAGAAAGTACCTGTTCTAATCAAACCATCTTCTCATGGCGCTCGACTCCAAATGTAGTTGCGGTGGGCTCAACGTTGCAGCCATTGGTTCTGTTACTTGACCTAATGTTCTTGCCTTCAGTGAGGGGTTAAAGGCACATCTTGCTTATGAATGTTATGAATTATGATTATGAATGTTGTCCCATTTGTAAGATCTTAGCTACTTTCTTAAATGCTAAAAGCTTTGAATGTGTCCATGAGTGCACCAACTTAAGTTGACGGTCAATTACTTTCACATCAAGGTTCAAAAGTCCGTGCCTTCAAGGCCGAGGCAGAGCTACATTTGAAACGCATGTTTTGCAAATCGTGTACGCGAACACTACCACTAACGGTATTTACGATCGCGGAAGGGCCTTGTTTTTATTTACTTCTTCAAGGTAGAATGTAGGCCGATGCAACGCACTTTGGCGTCATCAGTTCTGCAGAAATCAAAACAGCCTAAACAAGTAGGTCAAATAGCCTCATGGGCTTACCCCTCAGTTCTTCAGGCAAGAAAGACTAAATAGCTCTCCTGAGACCCTTTTGTCAGGGTTAATGCAAATTGCTCATTTTACCTCACCGTGGTTACAGGATTTTGGAGTCATTAATTAATTAATATTTGAATGGAAATTAGGTGAAGATTTTGGATGCAAACATTGGAATGTAAACAGCATAATGAGCTTCTCATCTTTAATTGACAATCTTTATTACTGAATCGGTCTTTGTTCTCACTGACGTTTGAATGGATGGAATCTTTCACTTTCGTGGATTTGTCCATCTTGTGTCGCAGTCTTCTTAATGTGCGATAGCTGCTTGGTTTTGGTTTGCATTATTTCGATCTTGGAGTAAGCTGAGGGAGTGCTGCAAACCTGTTCTTACTTTAACGTCTATGGCTGCCGGAAATAATGTTCCTTCTCACACACTCCCTCGACCCTAATAATGTTCATTACGGCGTCCCGAAACTTCTCTGTAGGCTGAATAAATGTATTCAGGCAAAAGAGTAGAGAATTGGATCTTTGGTATGGCCTGGAGACAATGCAGACACAAAGGTAACCGTAGTCGATACC